CTTCTATCTTCTGCAGGTACTGCATGACATGGGTGCACTTACATACATGCAGGCATAACATTCATACACATAAAATAAAAGTAAGTAAATCAAAAAACTTTTTTTTAAAAAAAGGGAAAAAGAACCTGTAGTGTGGTGGCAATGGCCTTTAATCGCAGCCCTCAGGAGGCAAAGGCAGCCAGATCTCTGTGAGATAAAGGCTAGCCTGGTCCACACAGTGACTTCTAGGCAGGCTGGAACTAGGGAGTCCCTGTCAAAACAACAGCAACAAAACCAACCAACCAACCAACCAACCAACCAACCAACCAACCAGAGATTTAAAAGAGAAAAACAGTTCATAAAAACAAAATCATTAAGAACTGAAGAGAGGAGCTTCAAGGCACCTGGGGTCATATTACATCACTGCATGAAAAGGTACTCTCCACCCTGTCCTACCAGTACCACCTCAAGACTATGTTCTACAATTAATCCCTCTTTCATGGGTCAGCATTATTTTTCTTTCTACTGCACTGTAGTCATCAGCACATAAACAATTATGGATGTTTCCCCATTTTAAAAAACAAAGGAAGAAATATCACCTGTGATTCCAACTCTTCTCCCTTGAGTACTCCATTTCTAGACTCCTTTCTCAAAACTCCATTTTCTCACTTTCCCTTCATTCTTTGACCCTCTCTAATCAGCTCTGGATCCCACTGTGACACTGAAACTGCTTTTCACCAATGCCAATGAATATTGGCTTACTAAATCAAATGTTCAATTCTGTTCTTATACCTAACCCTGTAGTGCTACTTAACAGAATGAGCCTCTAGCAAACTGTTTCCTCTTGGTTTCCACAACATAGTATTTCTGGCTTTCTTCCTGTCTTTGGCCTCTGCTCACCCCTTCTCACAGCAATGCTGCAGTTGCTTCAGTGTTCACTTATGGACCACCACCTCTTCCTTTTCTATGTAAACACCTGCCTGCAGTATATGCAGTGTTAACGTTGGTGCTTCTCAGTTCTGTGTCTGCAGGATTGACCTCCTCTCTCCATTTTGAAATGTAAAAACTAACCTGGATCTCCAGTAGGCATTTCAAACTTAACAAGTACCAGAAAAATCATTTGATTTCTTCCCCTATGAGTTCTCTCAATCTACCACCATTTCCCTCTCCCTCACCATCCTCCTGCCACTCCTCATACAACCCAGTTCATCAGTAAATCCAGAAGACCAAAAAAAAAAAAAAAAAAAAAAAAAAGCCAAAATTCCAACTACTACTTTCCTTCACTGGTATCACCCAAATCTAAACCACCATAATTTCTTGTCTTGAGGAACATGGCAATTTGCTGACTGGTGTTTCTGCTTCTACTACTGTGTTTCCTATCATCTATTCTTCACCAAGAGATGTGATCTTCTCAATGCTAGGAATCAGGGTCAGGGTCTTATGCATTATTGAGCCATAATCCAGACTAAGTAGTGTCAGTTTTAAACACTTATTCAAGTCAGTCATTTCCCTGCTCCAATATCACATCATTTACCTTGGAGAATCCCAGTTCTAAACCAGAGTCCAGATAGTCCTAACCTGTCCTGTCTGGTCTCTTACTCTCACCAATGTTTACTTTCTTTCCATTCATCAGCCATACCAAGTTTATTTACATGTAGGGGTTTGGCCTGGAACACTACTCAACACATGCCTAAGTACCTTCTTACTGTTCAGCTTTCAGTTCAAATGCCACTTGTCAGAGAACTTTCCCTCATCTGTCTATCCAAATTAGATAATCCTGCTACCATACTAGTCTCGGTTAATTTTTAATTAATAGGTTTTGCGGTTCCCATAGAAGTGAGGCCTGAAAACTGCTAATTTCCAGCATCTAAAACAGTGACTAGCAGAGAATAAACATCTGAAAGACCTATTTGTTGAAAGAATATTCAAGAACCCAGTAAGTTTTGAAGTTTTGTAAGTTACTAATGGATCAAAAAGACAAATAGGAGTCTATGTACTGAAATCAAGCTCTAACACCAATGTACAAACTTAAGAAGGCAAGGTAGGGGCTGGCGAGAAGGCTCAGGGGTAAAAGCACTTGCTAGGCAATCCTGACAAGCCGGAGAAGAGGTGCATATCGGTAATCCCAACACCCCTACAGTAAAATCAGAGGAGGATACAAAAAAGCCAATCAGAAGCTCTCAAACCATCTAGCCCGAAGCACACAGCATGGCAGAAATAAGAGAAACTGCCTCAAAAACAAGGTGAGGGACTGGAGAGAGGATTCAGGGGTTAAGAGCACTGGCTGCTACTGCAGCGGACCTGGGTTCATTTCCCAGCACCCACATGGTAGTTAACAACCATCTTTAACTCCAGCTCCAGCGGATCCAACACCCTCTTTTGACCTCTGTGGGCACTGTACAACATGGGTGCACTTACATACATACAGGTAATATACACATAAAATAAACATAACAATAAATAAAACATTAAAATAAATTTAAAAAGAAAAACAAAGTGGAAAGAAAGGTGAGAACACCAGAAAGTTGTCCTCTGCCCTCTATATGCAAGGCATGGCATGCACATGCTATTATTGTACATGTGTCAGCATAGACAATAAGTAAATACCATTTTAAAATAAGCAAGGTACTCAAGCATGGTAGCACATGCCTTTAATCCCAGCACTCGGCAGGCAGATCACTGTGAGATTGAGGCCAGGTTAACCTACATGGCAAGTTTCTAGGTCAGCTGGGGATACAGGGAGACCCTGTCTCAAAAAACCAAGAAAACAAACCAACAAACACACACTGCCAGGGAAAAAGTTGTACCTTCCAAATCTGAAGGGTTCTTTCTGACCTTAAAATAGGTAGTAACTTCTTTGGTGGCCCAGCTGAAAAGCGACTTGGTTTTGCAGTACTGGGGATCAAGCTCAGGGCCTTACACATGCTAGTCAAGCATTCTACTACTGACCTACTCTAGTCCTCTAAATGAGACTTCTAAATGTCATTCCTGAAAATTCCTTTCAAGAGTCTTTGTAGGGGACAGGGGGTGTGCACTTGCATATATGCAAGTATATGTGTGGGCCACGGGTATAGAAGCCAGAAGACAATTTTGGGTGCCATTCCTTGGGAGTTTTCCATCTTGTTTTTTCAGACAGAGTGTCTCATTGGCCTGGAACCCCCTAGAAATAGATCTATATCTTAGGGACTGGTAAGAAAAGGCACTTGGCTATGCAAGCTTAATGATCTGAGTTTGATTCTCAGAATGTATATAAAATGTGGAAGTAGAGTCAACTCCACAAAGTTGTCCTCTGACCTCCACAGGTTCACACATACCTACTCACACACATGCACACGCACTAGTAATAAAGTTTAAAAGAAATTAATTAAAAAAAAAAAAAAAAAAAAAAAGGGAAAAAAAAAAAAACAGGGCTAGAGAGATGACTCAGGGGTTAAGAGTACTTGCAGTTCTTCCAGGACCAAAGGTTGTGTGCTAGATAGCTTTAGTGTCAACTTGACACACCTGGATTGAGGGAGTCTCAACTGGGGAATTGCCTCCATTGGATTGGCCTGTGGCCATGTCCGTGGGGCAGCTTCTTGATTATTGAGTGATGTGGGAGAGCCCAACCCATTGTGGGTGGTACCACCCCTGGGCAGGTGGACCTATGTTGTATAAGAAAGCAGACTGAGCATTGGCAGGGGAGCAAACCAGTAAGCAGCGCT